CAAGCCACACTTATTGTTTTTACTTCGGCTGTGAGTGTTTGTGTGTGCTCAGGATGAGTTTCGCTTGTTCTCGCTGTATCGCCGACCCGGAAGCCTGTCTGCTCCTCGCAGCAGCTCGCAGCAACGAGCCTCGCAACTTCCCGACCAATCAGAGCACACTGGGCTCACAGGGAGGGGGGGGGGGGGGGGGGGCAGGAGCTCCAACAAGCCGTTTAGGGCAGAGAGTGAATACCTGGTGAATACACATACTTTACAGAGATGCTGTATGAGAAACCAATGTGATTTTGGAAAATTGCACAGTATAAATCTATTCTAGTAGACCTCAACAATGGAAATATGATCAGTAGAAATGACCATGACATGGGCCCTTTAAGTTTGTATTGTCGCTGCAAAAATGCCGCAAATTCGAGCAGGAGAATGAAAGGAATGTTGAAAACTGTGAACTGCTTTGTTTTTTTTCTTTATTACAGATTTGTTTACTTACATATTCTGCTTTACATGCCAGACCTCTGTGAGATATGTTTACATTGATATCATTTTTAAATTGACCATGGCATATATGTTCCAGAAAACGTCATATTTAGGAGCTGTTTTCAATGCAATGACTTCTCTGAAGGTAGTGTGTGTTTGTCTGTGTGTGATTATGAAAATGTGTCCAGGCAGCAGCATCACATCAGTTCTTCAGATAGTACACATTAATACAAGACAATTATCCAGAAAAACTCCTCTGTACTGCCTCTTAGCTGATGCTTCCCCATTGAAATATACCCTGGACTAAGAAATAGGCTTGAAAAATAATGTATCGGATCTTGTAAATGAATGTTATGTAATGGACTAAATAACCATGAGAATAAGAAAGGTAATTTATTTGACCATATGGAAAAATGGTGGAGGTATAAAGAACTGTATACTTTATTGCAAATTATTGTTCATGTTTTCGTCTCTGTTCTAGATTTTATATTTTTTTATTTTTTTATTTATTCATTTTGGTTTACTTTTGGAGACATTTAGTCATTTGAGGTGTCTTAGTTTTAGTCTGTATCCCTTTTTGTTGTGTAGGGTTAGGGTTAGGGTTAGGGTTAGGGTTAAGGTTAAGGTTAAGGCAAATCATTTTCTTAAAAATTATATAAATATATATTTATTAATTACATTTAGTCAGTCAGCAGGAAATACATGCACAAATATAGCAGGATGAAAAGAAAAAAGAAAAGGGCAGACAGATATGTATTTGAGGTTAGGCCTAAACATAGTTCCAAACAGACGCAGACTGTCTTCCAGTTCCACAATGTGAGATGGAACGACATGGTGACGGGGGGGATGAAAGGAGATTCTGCTCCTTTGTTTCACAGGAACCTAAAAATAGGTCTTGCTGAGCAGGCAGTGAGGCTGAGCTGCACAATCTGCTCCGTTTCCTCTTTTTCTGTCCTTCACTCTCTCAGGTTAATGATTCATGTGAGATGGGCTTTAATGTAGTACAGCCATTAGGGTGAGCTGGTCTGACACTATACGTGGTTACTGCATGCTATTTATTATGTAGGAAACAAGGAAGGACCGTTATTGATCTTTGTGTGGTGGGTTAGTCACCTGCTGTGAATCAGGGTTATCTACGGCCACAATGCCATTGTTATAAAAGAGATCAAATCAAAACGATTCTTATTTTGCCACACAAGGAAAAATCTGTCCAGAATTAAATACAAAAATAAACAATAGATTTAAAATGTAAAATGTGCAACAAGTAACACATTTCACTTCAGTCACATAGTTTCACTATAATTAGTACATTTGAAATGTACACATTTATTTATACAAAAATGCAATATTTTTGTTATTCAGACTGATCAATGCTCTGATTGGTTAGCTGACCGGCTCTGTTTTGATTGGTCAGCCACTTAGAGATTTCCCGCCACTTAGCCTATCATGTACAATTTGTTGGCGTGCTAGACAATAGTAGTGGGAGTGTTACATAATTATGTCATTATGTGACGGCGGTAAACAAAGGAGTCCAATGGAAGCGTTTCCCCCGGTAGGGGGGGGGGGGAGTGTGTGGGAGAGAAACTCCCTCTGGAGGGAATACAGAGATTTTAGCATTTGCAGACCATTTACATGCACTAAAAACCCTTAAATATTCTCATAAAAAATACACCAATAATAGATAATGCTGCTTTTCCTAGTAAAGATACAAATACAGCATTATAAATAGTTTACATATGTGAACATATAATTGATAAGCAATATAAATAAACATGATTTAAGTAAGGGTCAAAATTAGCTTCAGTCTTTTTTCTTTATTAGAGTAACACAGTTAACATTACAATTACAATAGTCTAACATCTGGTATCGCACATAAAGAAAACTATTAAACGTATGCTTTTCAGATTATTCTCTTTATGCATTACTTAACAAATACTATAATAGGTTTGCAAGTAAAAACTAAATATAGCTGATATCCATTTATTATTGAACCTTGATGTCATTTTTATGGTGTTGAAAATCTTAAACTACTCATCCTTATCTTAGATGTAGCCACTAATCTCCTGATAATTGTCTTCCCTCTTCACACAGAAATGAAAGAAAAGACAATACTGCTGTTTGTGCGGCAGTCTCCAAGCAATTACACAATGCCAACAGGTCGAGCACACGTTTATCAGTGAGTCGCTGTGCTCACATCCATAGCAACCTCGTGTTATTGTCCTGCAGATCTGTTCCCCGCCCCCACACAGATCCCATACTGCTATATTTCCTTCTAGTCTCACACACTTTATGGAGGGAAGCTAATCTCATTTCATGGAGATCCACTGTCGGCACAAACTGAATAAATAGAGATTTTTGCAAATGTATGTTCAGTGTACATGGTGCATGTAAACAATGTTCAAGTAGGATACATTCACAGAGAAGAGGTCAGTCGATTCACTATTTTGGCCCCTAGAGTGAATCATATATTGTGGAAAGCTTGGCATTGGAGCCAAGGAATTTGCTTCACATTTCTTCACTGGCAGCCAAAACACGCTCGCAGTGGGAGGAGCACATATTTCTGTTTCTCCTGGCCTGAGGAGATATAAGTGAGAGGCGTGAGAATGTGGGAAATCCCCATAAATGAACAGTAATCAGTACTGAAAGTGAAGCATGTTTTGCAGTTCATCAGATTTGTTGACATTCAGATCACTTTTGATGGAATTCTCTTAGTTTTTCTTAGAGGAGCCCTTTTATGCTCCTTTCAGATTCATTCTGTGCCTCTACTGTGACATGTCTCCATGCTTTAATGTTCAAAAAGTTCTTTATTTTTCTCATACTGCCTGTGCTGCAGTACCTCTTTTCACCCTCTGTCTGAAACCAGAGCCCAGTCTGCTCTGATTGGTTAGCTGGCTGGCTGGCATCACGTACAATGTGTTGGAGCGGTAGCCAATAGAAGTGTGAGTGTTACATAGTGATGTTCCTAGTTACAGAAGTTAACAATATGGAGCTGTTTCAGGAAGGGGGGGAGTGTGTGGGAGAAAAAATCCCTCTCGAGGAATCACTAGCATCTGCAGACCATTTAAAAGCACTAAAACCAATACAATACTACAGGAAAGGGAAAACCCCAAAAAGCGTAATTTTTCATTTGGTGAATGTGTGGCACAAGATATTAGAGCCATAGAGGTGTGTGGTGGATTAATAGCATGGATGTGGACATAAGGAAAGATAAGCACTGATATAATGCAGTGGGAGGATAAACAGCTCAGAGGCAGCAGAGGGAAGAAGTCAGTGGACTGCAGTAGCCTGAGTGTCTGTCTGTTACAGCCACATCCATCAACTAACAACGGATAGGCTATCCTTTGAGACTTTTACCATCTGATTGCATGCAAATACTGTATACTGTAAGTTCTTTATTTTTCCCATACTGCCTGTGCTGCTCTATTGGTATATTATCAATGTTGGCTGCTGACGAGGAGTGTTTTTTGCAATTTGGCTAACAGATGTTATTATGATCTTGTGTTGTTTGTGAGGATGCACAGAGTGATAGATGGGTTATTGCTTGGGTCTACAGGGCACAGACCCTTACAGGTTAGGAGGCCCCTGGGCCAGGGCCTCTGTCTGAAGCTACAGCTAACATTTTTTTGGGAAAGTCCCTAATAGACAAAAATGTGCAAAAAAAGACAGACTGAAACTACAAAGCATCAATAAATAGATTCAAGATAAACAAAAGAGCCACAAAATCACCAAAAGAGAAAATCAAAATAAGTAAAAATAGCCACAAGAAGACAACCAACAGTTACAAAATGACCACTAAAAGACACAAAATAACCAAAACATTGAAACAAAATAAGCAAAGAGACAGAATACCACCAAAAGGGCCACAAAATAGCAACAAAAAAAACAACAAAAAATAAATCAAAGAGACAAAATATGACACTGAAAAGCCACAAAATGATTACAGAGAGAGACAAAACAACCCCAAACTGACTATAAAGAGATCCATCATGATGAGAAACATAATGACCACAAAGAGACACATAATAAATATTTGTGGTAACGATAAAAAGTCACAGTGCCATTGATGCTGAATATGCAGCACAGTCACTGCTCTTGCACAGCTAATAGAATGGTTCGCTGATTCCACATTTCACGCTATGTCATCATCTCGCAGAGGAAAAGGCATAGAGGCAATGCAGCCACTTAAACAGGGACAGCCACCAATCACAACCGAAATAACATATACAGCAACATTAAAGGTCAGCACACAATCCTCAAGTGAATCCTTGATATTAAATAACATGACCGGGGAACAGGATCAATATGGTCAGGCAATCATTGGATAAATTAATATGATTATGGATTATGTATGCATCTAAAAAAAGAAATCAGTGTAAAACTCAGATTGCAATGATGATGTAAACTTGTTGTTGACTTTCCCAGTCTGAATGACTGAGCAGAGGAGAGGGGGTGGGGTGTCATTAATCCACGGCGAGTGATGACCACGCATGCAAAAATGAGGTGTAGTGGGGGATGGGCGAGGACACTGTTGTTATGACTGGTGCTTGGCTGCGGGACAAACTTCCAGAGGCCTCGGCATTTTTTTCCCTCTGTTCCACCTCATTGGTTGGATTCAACGAGGAAATGTGGCTCCATTTTGCTGTAAACCTGTCAAACGGACCAGCAGCTAATTTCAAATCAACGCTTGAGGGCCGCTTGCACCTTTAACAAACCTTGCTTTTGGAAAATAGGTTAGTCACCGCGTTATATGATTGTTATGTGTGGATGAAATATGAAATAACGCTTTTGTAACATGTAGTTGTATTAGCTCATTCTACATGAATAACCCATCATACTGTGCCGTATTTGATCGAGGAGGCGGTGAATACATTATACATTGCCGTCGTCACGGGTTAATCGTTACATTGAGTTTGAGCAATTTGAAATAACAGTAGTTACAGGCGGCTCATTTCTGCATGTTAGGTCACCCCACTGTGTCGAATGTCTGAAGCCGTTGCTGGGTTCTTACCGCCTGCCTGTAGTTTAAATATTATAACCATAGAGATTATAACCTATCGATAGTTAATACATGTGCGTAAAGGACTTGTCTTGCAATCGATAAAAGAGATAACATGGTCTGACGTGAACACAAGAGCTGTGGAAGATATCGTCCATTGAAAGGTTTTATCCAAGTAGGTACGAGATTATAGCAGCACTGTCATTAGCATAGCATGCTAGTGTTAGCCACCTAGCTAGCGTGTTAGCAGAGTGGTAGCAAGCTGATGGTCTCACTGTACTTGCCATAAACCCTGTTTCAAAGAAGCGTACTTGATGCTCTCGCTATTTAAAAGAACCAAACACAACGGTTACCCATGTAGCTTGGACTGCATACGTTTGGTAGCTATACTACTCGTGACATGCATAAAATAAACAAAACGTTAAGACCCCTGTGCCTGCCTGGCATGTGTGGCGACCGTTACAGCCGCCGCCAAGGCAACATTAATGTTAAAGCGCATGTTAGCCTCTGTGCTAACATCTCGTTGCTCATGGCAATGCAGAGGGGGACTTGCGTTATAATGGGTTGTAAATAAACGGATAATTACACCATTTTAACGAGGTAAAAAAACAAGGCGCAAGTTCACGCGTTTACTTCACAAAAAGCTTAGAATACAAACGCCGATAAAGCCAGGTCTCATTTCCTCCATACATTCACGTAGTGACATGTGGACAGTATTGTCAGCCTAGCAGTACAGTACAACTGTAACGTGTTAAAGGGGTTGTTATACTTTATAGATGCAGCGCTGCTGTTTACTTGAGATTCCCACTGACGAATGAAGGGGCATTTGATTCAGTCTCATCTTACAGCATTAAAGTGCATTTTGAGTAATTCATTGGCACTAGCCGGTGTTGCTTTAAACAGCATGTCGGATAACGTACACACTGTAGTTTGAGCCCATTCAGTCGCCACGGTGTGTGGGGGATGGGCAATGTGTTTCCGCAAGTAGCTTGCCTTGCAATGAATTAATGCTAGTTTAGCTACCGGCAGTTTAGCATGGTGACTTAACTTGCACGAGATGAAACTGACTTTAGGAGGAAAGCAGAATGGCGACAAAACATTTCAAAAATAGCTACATACAAAACAAACTAAAACACTTCATTCAATGACTCTAGTTTGTGATCCAGTACCAGCAGTGAGATGGGGGTTAATATATCGGTGGCAAACATGAAGGAGGTTTTTTTACCTACTTGCATTATATATTGTATTCATTCAATACAACGCATATGCGTACTGCCCCTTTAATAACTATCATAATCATCAACATCATCAGGTGTAGTTACAACGTGCTGTGCATACATATTCACAGGCATTGCTGACCCAGTTTCTTTAATTGTTTTGATGACACAACCCGTTTCACCCACTCACTGACACACTGCTGCAGAATGTCAATTGTAATTAGGGTACTTTTTCACAGCTCTGTTAGAAAAATATGGTCTTGAGTGGATATTTGGCAGGGCCTCCATGATTTTTACTAAACTAGATTTTCACATCTATTAACTTCTATGACACGTGTGATCAGGAATTACTTGGATGCCAAATAAAGTTGGGGGCAGTGGTCCCATTCTACTTCTTAGCCCCCCAATTCAGGATTTTCTTACTATGTTCTTCGTCTATGATCTCAATACACACCTGTAAAGTTCTGTGACTGCATCTGGCATGGTTGCGATCTATTATGGTCCCTAAATGTGTCCATTGTCAAATAAATGACCAGCTCAGAACCTCCTCTGTGGTAGTTCTTGCTACGCTAGTGGCCTCCAGGAGCACTTTTTGCCCAGGTGACACTCACAAAGACTCACAGGGTGAAAACAATACCAGCGTAGCTCTTGATCTTAACCTATAGTTCCTAAGTGATTTTACTTTGGGGAAGCAGTGCCGTATGTGATCCAGGTGAAATGCCCACTCCTGGTGTTTCTTAAGTGTAAAACGTTGGAAGAAGTGTACTCATTTTCTTTCTTTTCTTCTCAGGGGCTGAGAGTTCCTGCTGAGGACAACAGAGCTATGACGGGCTTCTGAAGACCTCTTGATCACATGGGTAGGATATCTAACTGTCACACGTGTTTCCCATATGTAGATTTTGTTCGCCTATTTCTATGCCTGCACACCAATATATATACCTACAACAGTGGTCACCAACCAGTCGATCGCAATCGACCGGTAGATCGCGCCCCGTTAAAAAAAGTAACAAAAGACTGTAAAAATGTAATTTAAAAAAAAGTTTTTAGATGTAAGCCTATCATCCACCACCCCGTTAGCAGGTGCCACTTGATTGACGTGTCTTTGAGACATTCCCTGTCGCTCCCGGAAATAATAGACTGACTTCAAGTGATGCTGCATATTTTGGAACTCACTGCACTTATGGTAGATACCAACTACAACAAAATGAACATATTTTACCGTGATTTAATTGTAATACACGTTTCAAAATGATGCCGGAATAACTACAAACTGATACTGGTTAGTAAAAACCATGAATTAATGCTTTGACAAGTGTGCAAACAAGACGGCAGGCGAAAAACCTTTTAAAATGCGTGTTTTTCTGAATGGAGATCGGATCGATCAGGATAAACTAACCTGTAGCTGCTCCGTCCACACTCACAACAACGTCATACAGACAGAAATAAAGCAGCGACTATATTCGCCATGACACAGACAGTCTGTGTTTTGTTAATGTTATAACTTTTCTCCAGTTTCTGAACAGATATGAGGAGCTGTGAGCTCCGTGTGCTAACAGCTGACGGCTGATGTTTTGGTTTTCTGATTCAACATGAGTGACCGCAGGCTGAGATCCTCACCGCTGATTGGCTACAGCGCGAACGCGTAATTCGCATCAACCGCGTCTGTCCGAGTGTCCGCGTCTTTGCATTGACTTTACATGTAATCACGCCGCTCCCAAAAATCGCATCGCGTCCGGTGTGAACGCAATGCATGGATAAAGAATGTTGTTAGAATTTTGAATTTGTAAGAATTGTGTTAAAATAACTAGTTTTAATGTTGAATGTTGCACTTGCATGAAGCTTCAGTGGATAAGCCTCACAGTTAAAATGGCACTTTATGTTATCTGCTCACTGCAAGATGTTGTTTTTTTCTTTGTTGTTGTCGCTGTCAACAAAATAATTTACTCATTCACTCAAACAAATGGAAAATAAGCTACATACATTTATATTTAGGATTGTAATGAAGGAATGAATGAAACTTAAAATGATAGGTATGATGTAAATATATATATTTATCCTTTTTGACATGTTAGTTATGTTGTGTTCTTGGTTTAATCAAATTGGAAGTTGCACCAAATGATTTGATGCAATTCAGATGCAATTAGCCTACATAAAAGGCCTCAAATTGGAAGTACAGTCTGGGCTGTCTTTTTCACTCAATTCTGCAATAGGTAGATCTCGCCTTTCACCAAGGCCGAGGTCGGGGATCTTGGGCTTAAAAAGGTTGGTGACCACTGACCTAGAAGATCACATTATATATCATATAGAGAAGAGGGGAAGCAGAACAAATATACCTCTTCAATTAAATTCTTAATTTTCTCCGAAAGGCAAATACAAGAAAATACAAGGCAGATAGAGAAATACATTCAAGAAAACAAATAAATCCAACAAGGTTAATAATAATAATGGAGAGAGATCTGTGCGAAATTCAATGCAGACAGTGGTTAAGTGTCTGATAGTGTGCGATGTGTAAATATTAGGGCTGTCAAGTTAACGCGTTAATAACGCGTTAACGCAAAAAAAAATTAACGCCACTAATTATTTTAACGCGATTAACGCATGTGTATTTTTTGTCCTCGGGCGCCCCATAGTTTCAGAGCGCATCGAGTTTAAAATACCATCTACAAGCTGATGCTGACAGCCCCGCTCCTGCCGCCCGCTTGTGGCAGACCACACTTCCACGCTCCCCGGCAGGCCCGGACTGGCCATCGGGAGGACCGGGAGGGTGTGTGTATGTGTGGGGCGAGCGAGGCACACCTTACGTGTTGTTGTTAGCATCTGGTGCTAGCTAGCTGCGCTAACGGATATAAGGAGCTGTTTCAATGAAAACAGAGGAGCGACATTTCGCCGACAACTGCGCCGAGCACTTGACTTTATGCAGGTAGCCAGACAGAGGGACATTGTACGAAAAGTCAGCACGGATAGTGCGCGCAACATGATTGCAGCGTCCAGGCAGCTCCCGTTCGAGCATATATGCCTTGAGCTGCACATAGCTCCAACGATCCATCACAGTGTCTCTCCACACACACACACACACACACACACACACACACACACACACACACACACACACACACACACACACACACTGTATTATTGTATTATTGTATGAGAGAGGTTCCAGGTTGAATTGAGGCGAATATTTGTAATGTTCAGGTTGTTGTGTTTAATATTCATGAGAATATTTGTCATTGTTCAAATGATAATAAACAAACATATAAAGCATATTTGTCCACTCATATGTTGATAAGCGTATTCAAAACTTGAAAAATATCCCTCTAAGGTACATTTAGAACAGATACAAAATTTGCGATTAACTATGGACAATCATGCGATTAATCGCGATTAAATATTTTAATCGACTGACCGCCCTAGTAAATATATATATTAGTATTTATGTATTTGTGGGTGTGTGTAAGATAGGGTCCATACAAACAAAGTGTTTATTATTAAATAGTTTATTACGCACATCATTATAAACCAGAAATTGACAACAATACGACAAGTCCAACAAAGATTATGCTAAAATGTATATCATTTGTCCAGACAATTTAAAAAATATTGGGTATACTCTGGTTCAGTACACCTTCTCTGTTGAAATTCCTATAGGAGACTGTTCAAAGAATAGCTGTGCAAATATAGAAACGGCGATGGCCTTGAACCCCATGTATGTTGCTTAAGTGTGTGCAGAAATATTTTTTTAGAACGTGTTTATGTATGTCTTAGCTACTTTAAGAAAACATATATGTTGTATTGTTATTTTAGGTCCACAGTATGCAGATATCTTTGGTGTACTTCTTTGTTTGCACAGTTGACTCCTTTTTGTGCTGTTTTTTACACCCGTTTGAACTATTTAGAAATATATAGTGGGTGGTCAGCTTGGTTCAAAGTCCAACAGTGTTACTTGTTGATCATTTAGGGGGTTAAAAGGGAAGAAGAAGAAAACAAGACAAAATGTGGCAAAGTATCCAGGATAATGATTCACTAGTGCAACAAAGTAATTTTCATGTTATTACTTCTTATGATTAATTGCATGCTTAATCATATAATGAAGCGCACTGGATACTCTTGTACTGATTCACAATCAGATTGCATATCACAAATTACAAGATTGATCAATGAGTGCTCCACTCCAACGCCGATGTTAAAGGGGCCCTATGATGTAGGGCTGTGCAATTAACCGTATTTTAATCTCGATTACAATTTTGTCTTGCAACGATTACGAAAACAACGTAATCTAAATAAAACGATTATTTAGCTGCGTGCGCTTTCGCCCCTCCCTAAAAGCCCTCTTGGCCAGGTTGTGAGTGACAATAGTTTTGAGTTCAGCGCGAGCAAAGTCGGCAGAACAAGAGCAACTTGTGAACAAGAAAGGTAAAATGAATTTTTTAAACGTCAACATTTCAGTTGCGCTGACAGGCGACAGAGGTCCACAGTTTCCCCGCAGCTTCCCCGCAGCGAGGCCCCCCCCCCCCCCCCCCCCCCCCGTTGATAGTTCACAAGCGTGCCCCCTCTACTTCATCCACCACATCACAGTCATCAATTAAGGATGCGCTTTACAGTGCAACGGCCTACTCAACCAGCTCGCAAAGACACAAAGATATAACACATGCCATCACATTCTACATAGCTAAAGACATGTGCCCAGTTAGCACGGTGAGCAACCAAGGGTTTAAGCAACTGGCTAACACTATGGACAAGCGTTACGCGATGCCATCTCGGCATCATCTCACCAGATCTGCACTGCCTGCCCTATATGACAAATGCCGTGGGGAAGTTGAAAAAGATGTGGCTTCAGCTGAATACTTTGCAGTAGAGTTATACTTTAAGTTCAGGGTAATCAACTGTTAAAAAGATACTGTTCAACTTATTATTCTTTTTAAAAGTTCAATAAATGGATGTTTTCAAAGTCAATGAATAATCGTGATATCAATATTGACCAAAATTATCGTGATTATGATTTTTGCCATAATCGAGCAGCCCTACTATGATGCTTATTTTTTTTTTTTAGCAGGAGTGCATTTTAAATCTTTAAACCAGTTTGCCATCAAATGTTTGTTTTCATTTTGCCTGGTCATCAATATTGTGTCTTCAGTGGTTGACGATATGGATAGGGGGAAAAACCCTTTTTCCACTCACAAAGCCTAAATGGCACTGTCTAATGTAGTCTACTGATTGTTTGTGACCAATTTCAGTAAGTTCAAATTCTGAAAGCTCTCCATTCTAGCGACATGAGCCAATATTCGTTATTTGTTTGACAGACAACAGCTTCATAGATCTGAATCTTTGGGAATTATAATTCTGAACGGAACTGATACGTTTTTATAGCCTAAACTTGAAGATATGTTTGTTGACACCGAACTCTAGTTTACGGTCTGCTAATTAACATGTCCTTTTCTTTCTTATCACATCTCCACCTGAAAATGTTTTGGCGGAATTTGAATCAGTCTAGTGAGGATATAATTTGCATGTGTTACTCCAGTGTCATTTAGCAGCTATTTATCTTATAAGCGGGGATGTGTCAGGGCTCTTGATCGATTCTCACGTTCACAAAAGAGTGAGGTAATGGACGTTATGTCAGCAGAAGAAGAACTGGTCAACTTATTCTTGTAAAGAGCTCTGACCCTGTTCACTGCTCCTGCGCCACTTGCATAGTGATGACATTTGCCAGCACCCTGTCAAAACAGGCTAGTGTCTGAAATGCAACAGTGCAATGTGCGTGTAGTGCACCATGACTACACTGACCCTTAAAAGACCCTGTAAATGAAAAGTCAATTTTTCCCAGTTCTTTTTTTATTTAATATTATATATTTCGTTTTTTTCATCAAGAAACCTGTCTTTTGCCTTCCTGTAAAAGTGTTTAGATATTGATAATAAAAACACAGGATGTTGCTCAAAGTGCTTTAACAATTTACCCACATTCAGCATGTATACATAATACGCTCATATATAATTGCGAACCACTTCTGAATCACTTTGCTTTTCCGCCGAGCAGAGCCAGAGTGTAGCGACGACATACCGTCATTGTTTACGTCACTGCAACACAAAAACAACAATGGTGAACTACGTTGAAGCTGTGCTCATGTTGCCATTAAACTAACAAAGCCAGATTAAATTGCAAGCATGACTTCTAATTATATACCCTTCTCCAGAGTCAAATGGCCAATGCTATGTCAACACAATTCAGTGGTAATTCTCGACCACTGGAGTAGTACGCCGTTCCCGCTCCATCCACGTATAGCCTACAACTTCCTAAAGCCAGCTGCTGCTTGAAAGTATTAATTCACTGTCTGACTGTCACACAAACAACGTCCTATGACGCATATTGAGTTAAAAAGCATATTCCGTGTTTTATGTACACAAACAAAATGACGACACAAGCAATTCGCTGTATTCTAGTGGTAGAACTTCAATTTGAGAAAATACTAGCCATCAGGATTTTTTTGACCACCATGTAAGGGATGTCAGACGGACTTCTTCCAGGGCTTTTGGTCCAGTTGATCTTGGACTGCTGCCTTTGGGATGCGGCAGCAGGGCAGGCAGGCGTGATGGAAACAGTTGATGTTCTGTCCGCCATCCAGACCCCCTTGTTTATTTCCACTGTCCCATTTAAACGGTGCGGGTTCTGCGTGAATAAACACGAAGCCCAGACGCAAGCACTTTAAGATCTGCTACTGCTGAGCTTCAAAACCAATACTTTATCCCACAATACCCAGCCTGCCTCATGAAGGCGGCAGGTCATTATTTCCAGTTGTAGGTTAATGAATGGAAACTGGTGCCCTGCCTGGAGCAATAATGCTTCTACAGCCAACACAAAAACTAGGGAGGAAAGGCAAAACTACTAAAGCCTTCTTTCTGCTCAGTTCAATGGTCTGTAATAAAGAATCATCAGTTGCATTTTTGCATTGCATGATTCCCACTTAAAAAAACCTGAACCGCTGATTCCTATTTTTCTTTCTAAGAACTGGAATTGATTTATGCAAACATTTTGTAATTGATATTTCATCGAAAATTCAATTGTGTCTTCATATAAGAAAGTTATGTTTCAATATTATTCAATACTGTGTATATTGGCCTATTATAGACAGCCAGCTATTTATTATCTATCTGCAACTATGTATCAAGCTAGTTTGCAGCAGGAAAAGGGACAATAAAAACCAACCAATAGAAAATATCCCTTCCCTGATTCAAAGGGAGTGGAGGAAGGCTAGGCTGTTTTGGGAATTTTTCTCTGAACCCAGCAGCTGTTTGGGAACACAATTCCAAGCATCATCAATAAAATATTCATCTGTCTGGTGCCCAAATGTAATTGAATCCTTCAGGGATAAAACCTACGCTACAAGTTATTTGTTCAAAACTATTTATGAATCATTATCTATTTAAAAATAAATTACTTTATGTGTGGTGTGTGACGTTACTGGAGTTCCCGCTCTGTAGTGTGTAATACCATTAACTCTTAATTAAGCAGCACTCCCTGCTCTGTGTTTTTTTTTTTTACAGACTCCTATCCTGTGCTGACCAAATGGTTTAATCACAAGGACTAAAAATGAGCATAAGCAGTGATGAAGTCAATTTCCTGGTTTACAGATACCTGCAAGAGTCAGGTAAGTCTTGCTTTAATTTTTTTAAAGTACAATTCTGTGAAAAGAGCGTTGCGTTAATGGGGCCTAAAACCCAGAAAGTAGTTAGCATTTCCCCACTTCCGGTGTGGCGCTTTCACACCGGAGTACTTTTCCCTGTACTTTTCCCTTTTAGTTCCGATAGTTCCTGAGATTTTGCGTTCACACCAAAAAGATCTGGAACTAGAACTTAGTTCATGAGAACTTTTCCCCCCTTGTTAGTCCCTGCTAGAGAGCAGGTACTTTCCTGGGAGAAAAAGGTTCCTATTTCTGATTGGCTCGGTGAATTGCAAACCACGCCCCGTAAAACTCGGAAAGTTTTGTGAAGCCGCCATTGTATTTGCTGGCATTAGCATTATTAGCATTAGCCCAGCGCACCAACGGAGAGAGACTAACTTATGGCAACACAAACATGAGAGTGGTGGAGATGAGGAGGTGTCCGCGTTCTGGCGATTTACTCGGAAGGCTTCAGTAGAAGCTGCTGGGACTGCCAGCAGCTTCTACTGAAGCCAGTCCCCAACTCTGGGGACTTCCGGCCGGGGACTTCCGGCAACTTGTAAATGTCAGAAGCCTCTGACATTTAAACGGAGGTTGCTAAGCTACCTTTAGCTTAGCAATGGTGACGCGAAGTGATAATGTAGTTTCATTAAACTCTACCATTAGCTTTTTACTTCTGCCGATTGCATTTATGCCTCACAAATGATAAAGTGTCATTAATATGTGGAGATTACCCTGCTGATACAAATGTCGAAGTATCATAAACGAATTTGCCACAAATCTTATCTTCTCCAATCCCATTGCTTTTTGTCGACGGCCCCCTTGCCATGCTAACCTCCGTGTTAGTCTACACAAATAAGTCATCACTGTATTGCACTTGTTTTCCTACTTGTAATATTTCTAATGGTTTATTATACACTGCTGCTTGAATCCCTGCAATTGACTCATCCTTCCTTCCTAATGATCCCCACCTCCTCCAGGCTTCTCCCACTCAGCGTTCACCTTTGGCATAGAGAGCCACATCAGCCAGTCCAACATCAATGGAGCCCTGGTGCCCCCTGCTGCCCTCATCTCCATCCTTCAGAAGGGCCTGCAGTATGTGGAGGCTGAAGTCAGCATTAATGAGGTCAGCTTTTAAACTAATAATTAGTTTTATCCTACAACATTCAGATTCATTTTGACTAGAGTTGGTTGGTTTCTTTGCTGTATTTGTCATATAATCTAAAGGATAATGTGTATATATTTATGTATTTATTTATATTTGTCTTCCTAGGATGGGACCTTATTTGACGGGCGGCCCATCGAGTCCCTGTCTCTGATCGACGCTGTGATGCCAGATGTCGTCCAAACCAGGCAGCAGGCCTACAGGGAAAAGCTGGCCCAGCAGCAGCAGCAGGCGGCAGGCAGTGACAGCGCTGCAGGGCCCCAGGGAGGCCCCAAGAACGGAGAGGGCACTGCCAACGGGGACGAGAATGGATCCCACGCCTTAGCCAGTAAGCTAACTCATGGTTACAAAAACTCTCTGAATGAATAAGCTCTAAAACAAACGGATAGTCCACCAAATTCCACAAATGTATTTATGCAGGATGTTATCTCTATACAAATTACATAATCAGTTGTGTTTATAAGAGGCTGTGTAAGCTGTTTGGCATTCCCCCGTTAATATAGTTCTCTTTTCCATTCTCAATACCCAATCTGATACAACGGAGAAAAATTCAAGCAAAGCAATACCAAGTTTTAATGCTACCTTAACATGAATAGAAGCTCACTCGCTTTGAATTATATGAAACAATTCTGGGTGTTTTTCTTTGAAGTGCTTTGCTAAGTCGGAAAGGCTTCCCCCGTCTGTAAATGGCCCTGTTCTGGTTCACTTTTGCAAATTCATTATGATCTGCCTCAAACTTAATTTCAACGTACATTTGGAGAATGTGCAGGAACATTCATTACGATGTTATTTAATTATTCCCAGGTTAGTAGCTGGTTTGGATGTATTGCAGGACTGTAAGAGTTCTTATTGCATGGAGTTAAAGCTTACCACCTCTGTTTGTGTGTGTCTGCTTTTTTCCTTTGTCATGACAGCCGCAGTACAACATTTGGTTTTCCTTCTTTTTTTTAAGTCTGTGGCTTGCTTGGTATTACATAAAGGCAACTCTGTATTTTTCTTTAACCAGCACATATTCCCTTCTGGTTTTGTCCTTCCTGTGTAGCACTGTCTCCATGTTTTCACTAACCTTTTCCAAACACACAATTGTTTGTTTGTTTTAGCGTAGAAAGGAAAAATGTGGTCCGCTTGTTTTCCCTCAAAAACCTCCTTCTTTCTCCAATGGGTTTGAATCCCACACAACAGGACTCACACTAAAATGATAGAGTGTTATGTTCAGGTTCTTACGGGCTAAACACAAATCCAACGTTGGCTTACAGCGAGTTTAACCTGGGCTCGACAACTTGTTTTTTGTTCCTTCTTTTGCTGTGGGTTGGGCACAAGCTTTGGTTCTTTTAACAACAAGCACAGCCTGCTCTTTAATTCCACAGCTGTCAGCTGTTCAGTCTGGTGTTCACTCAGAGCAGTAGTGGTTACTCATTTCATTTCTTTTTTATTTAATCGTTTATTTGAACCGGGACAGTGCACATTGATGAACATTTTAAACAAAATAATGCTTTCAAATGTAAATGAGCCGGATTTTAGCTTTGAGCTAATTTCCATCCGCAGTCCCGTCACATACAACATATAAGAACATGACATTTATATACATGGCAAAAATAAATACATGATATGCAGAAAGAGCATGAGCAGCATACAAGCATTTACCACATGGCAGTACAATGTAGCAGCTACGACATAGTGCAAGAGAAGATAAAAGAGCCACATAAAGTGAGATACCCCTGTGTTAAAGTGCATTTAGCGGTGATTGCACTCGAGCCTTGTCCAAAACATACTGGTGTCGCCATTCGGTTTGAATGAACGAGATCAGACGATGGCGTACATGTGAAATTAGATCATGTCAGACTGTCCTCCACCATTATTAAAATGGATGTTTGCAGTTCCAACCCAAATGAAGCCTTTGTGTAGCGAAACACTGGCAATTGAAAATTAACAGGCAATTTACCTTGAAGCGGTGACTCATCTTATCTTGTTTGTACTCCATTGCCCTTGCTTCCCTACTACCTGCAACAGAAGGTAATGGATCCTGTAATGTGAGCTTTAAGTTAAAGGTTTTGTTTTCTCACTCCCTCCTTAAGATCACCACGCAGAGATGATGGAGGTGGACAGGGAAGTGGAGATCCCCCAGAATAAAGCCATGGTTCTCCGAGGCCACGAATCCGAAGTCTTTATCTGTGCCTGGAACCCTGTGAACGACCTCCTCGCCTCCGGGTTAGTATCTCCATATCATCCTGTTGTTGGCTATGGCCGTGCAGTGTCTAGAATATCAGGCAAAAGTGTCTCTCCTACTGGGACAGTGGATTTTAGTAATGCATTAACATCCTTAAAACAAGTTAGTGATGTTATTGGCTCTTTTCTTTTTCTTTTTTCATTTAATACAAATGCCTTTTTAATGACGGCCTTCAACCATAATGATTTGAATACACACTGCAGCAAGTGTTCTAATGAGTCCTAATGATGCCTACTGGTCCTGTGTGAGGCCAAGAGTGGGTTTATGCATTTACCTAAAAGGACCTGCATGAGTTAAAGCAAAAATCTTGATCACTTATTGTTAGAGATGCCCTGATCCTCCTTTGTTTCTGCTGCTGACTTTACTTTTTTTATAATGGTTACCAAGGGGTCTTGAACTCCATGAAAGTTTATGAGGGTAAAGAGGAAGTTTCTTGCCAAAAACTACATTTTGTAAGATTGCATTTGAACACATCATGATGACGCTTTAACTTTACAGGGCCACCATCTGCTAAAAGCTAATGTAAACAGCAGCAGGCTCCTCGAGTTTCATTATAATGCATTCAATTAAAATGTGTATTGGGCAAAGGTAAGTTGCGTTATCTTGATACGTTCAAATGTAATCTTAAAATGTATTTTTCGGTTTAAAAACATTTTTTTTTAACTTTATCAGCCCTTGTGCCAAATTTAACACAGGGTGGTTGTTTACAAAAAAATCACCCCCTGTACTTGTTGATGGTGAGTTTGCTGACCACAATCAAAAAAAGGACATTTTATTGTTGTTTCTTTTTGCAGATCGGGGACTAGAAAGCATTAATTCCGATTGCATATTTTAACTTCATTAAGGCAGATAACAATCGGAATCAGATCCTTCGGGGCATGACTTAAAATAACGTTCATGAGTTAAAGCAAAATAAATCTAATTTTGTCAGCTAGCTAATTTTTAAACCATTTACAGGGTTTTTAAATACGGGTTACTTCAAATTCAGGGATAACATTAATAGAGTGGTGCAGTGACGAGTCCTAAAACCCGGAAGTGAGTCAGCATTTTACCACTACCTGTTCCCTCGTCTCAAATCCAATGGGATTTCTCCATAGAATGTGGAAAATAGCTGGAAATAAGGTCTGTGGTTGACACACATTTAAGAGACGGATCACGTTTTGTTCTACGACATTAAATACATCAGCAGTGACCCCACTGGTCAAAAACGATGGTTGTTAACAAGTGGCTGAATAGGACTACAGAAGTTGTCGAGGCCGTTGTACGTCATTACACCGAACACGTAAACACTCCCGCTAAGTTTGTTTGCCCTGTTCTGCTTAAAAGCAAGTACCTGCCTCCTGCAAACTGTTCAAACAAACGCTTCAACTTGTACAATTTTGAATCTGTATTTTTGAATATCGATCTTAAGTTGGCGTGATGTTGAAGTCGTGCAACCCTGCTGTACTCGGCTGTAGTTAGTTTATAGCATAACGTTAGCATTTTGCTTCTGGCGATTAGATTTATGATTAGAAAATTATAAAAGTAGGGTAGACATGTGGATATTATCCGGCTGAACAAAACGTGCATTTATCAAACCGGTTCGTTTTCCAAAGACCTTATTTCCAGCTATTTTCCAAAATCCTATGGGGAAATCCCATTGCTTTTTTGTCGATGGAACCCATGCCCAGCTTACTTCCGGGTAAATACGTCATCCCTGCACCACTCTATGTGGGTGGTCTTTCTCTGATATACCACCACTAAACAAATCTTTGTTGGTTTAAGTCATTGTTTTTACAGTATGCTTATCCCTCTCTAGATGAATGGACTCATGCAGAAAAATCTATGTAATGTTTGTTACAGAGCATAGCATGTTTTACATGATGGCGCTGTAAATGAGCCGGATTTTCCAGCAGTAACTAATGACTAAAGGCTTATTGTTCAGTCAGTAAGACTAAGCCGTTATTTGGCAACCATGAATCTACTTACAGATCAGTAGACTAAGAGGGTTAGTTTTAGAATTATGTTGAGTTCACTATTGCATTCTTGGGAACCATGTCTGTGGGGGAAAGTTTCTTCATCTTTTGCAGTCAGCACTATTTACTTTTTAGCTTTAGAAAATAACAAGCAGATAGCCTCAAGAGTAGTGTTGGAATCTGTCTATGCTTTATAGTGTTTCCCACTATGGTGGGGGTTGTTGATAACTTCCCCTAAATGAAAGTTTTGTAAATTGTAAAAAGTGCTTCAGAATGCAATTGTCTGTGAAAAACACATGTTTTTTGTGTATGTGTGTGTATATATATAGCAGTAATTGATTTTGAGAGTCAGTTAGCAAAACACACACTTTACTAGTCCAAACACAGTTAAAAACCAGCGCTTTTCTAAAAAGTTTAAATATGTTCAAGCTCAAGCACTCGGAACGGCTGAAAAAAAGAAGGTGAAGCGCTTAGAAAAATGCTGGGTGTAGCGCTTTTTCCCAAGGCGGCCGCATGAGATGGCTTGGCTCTGTTATTGTAGAAATCCATTGAAGAAATGCGCCTAGTGTACCCGCTTCAAGACACTGGTACTGGCCTACCATGCTGATAATGGATCAGGCCCTTCCTACATCCAGGACTTTGTTATGCCTCACACTCCAGCACAAGCACTTCGTTCTGCAGTGGCCAATTGGCTTGCTACTCCCTCACTGCGAAAGAGACCCAGATATCCCTCAACAAAACATGCCTGTTTGCTATCCTGGCCCCAAAATGGTGGAACAAGCTCCCCATTGATATCAGGATTTGTGCTCTTGAGATTGCGTCAGCAAAATGTAATGTAGTCTACACACACACTGGTATTTTTAAACATATTCTATATTTCGTCCACATTCAAAAAGCGTTATGGTTACCGACAAAGACGATTTTATAAAACCCCTTCCAGGATGAAGATGATCAGAAACTCCGTTTTTATTGTAGACTGGGAGAACAGAGATTCTGGCCTGTAACGTTAAAGTTTGCACCGTTATCACCCTTGTGAGGCCTCGCAAATGAGGAAATATTTCATGCAGACGTATCCAAAATAGGGCTGGCTCTAAACTTGCTAACAAGACCTTTTCCATGGTTCATAAAAACGTTACTCTTCCACTGTATTGAGAAACAGAGTCGTCAGATTTCGATTCAGGGTGATTTACAGCTACAGTATCCAACACTTTTGATCCATATTCAGTGTTTCCCCTAGGTTTACTGCTTTGGAGGGGTGCTGCCTGAGCGGGGGGGGGGGGGCATTGGGATATTATTATTTTTTTAATTCCACTGGAGCAGAGAGAGGAGCTGTGGATTGTTATTGATTATTGCATCAGTGTTTCTTAGAGTCTAAAACACTAAACTCACAACTTAAAATGTAAGCGTTTCGTTTATTTAATAAAAGAGCACATGTTCAATGTGAGAAGGGACACTAGATATAGATTAGTTGCAATTTGGTGCTATATATATATATAAAAAATAATTATAATTTTATTTTTTAAACACCTTGAATTTCAGGGGGGGCGCGGGGCTCCGTTGGCGGGGCGCAGCGCCCCTCCAAGACAATGGTAGGGGAAACACTGATATTGGAGGATTGTTTTAAAAGGCAGTACGTGTATCGGATAATGGAAGAAATCTAAACATTGTACATGTGGAATACACCTAAAATAATAAAACAAGTTTTTAACAAGTCAGAAAAAGGCATGAACATGTGATAAATGTACTGCCCCTTAAACACCCATCCCAGGAAAAGCCTTGTCCGACTGTAAATGGCCATTACTGTGAGCCATCATTAACAGTTAAGTGTCAATCCATAACATGAATTTCCTTCCAAGCCCATGGATCGAAGCCAAGGGAGTAAAAATAATTGACTTAACTTTGAAAAAATTATTATTAATCATCTTCCTTAAAATGCCTTAATCTACAATTGAGGGCTCATTAATATAAGTGTCCAACCCAACAGTGTGCACACACTGTCCTGCTCCAATGCATGAGCACGCCTCACAAAAATAAAAAAACAGACCTATACATTTGACAGGGTGCATTAAGGGCCACGTAATCGCAATTAAGTTTTGTGCCTGTAAAATGTATTTTTCCTTTTTCCTCAACAGATCATGTGAAAAAGGGTTGTTTAGTCATTTAGAAAGATTTACGGAATTGATACTGGGTTCAGGTTCGAATAAATGCTTTCAAACCCCAGCCCTACTCAAGAGCAGCGATGGTCAGTTGGATAACATTTCAGTACTGGTTTGAAGAGTGGAAGCCATGTTACATGACTAACGTTAGATTGTGTGTGTGTGTTTTGACTGGGCAGGTCCGGGGACTCGACAGCGCGGATCTGGAACCTGAGTGAGAACAGCACAGGCGGGTCCACCCAGCTGGTTCTGAGGCACTGCATACGGGAAGGGGGCCAGGACGTACCCAGCAACAAAGACGTCACCTCACTAGACTGGAATGTGAGTATGTGTGTGTGTGTGTGCCCCTTTGACCACTACTCCTGCCGAAAGCATTCCTTCCATCCACACACATGGGGGCGAGTCTCTCCCATGGGGGAAAATACTTTTTCTACCGCTCAGCTGCAAAGTATTTTCAGCACTAATATTTTGTTTAGTCATTAGCTACTGTTGTGTTAAGAGAGTCGTGCAGTGATGACATGTTTCTGTAGGCTGATCTGGAAGTTAACATCACATCCTAAATCCTAAATCACATCCTAAATCCACACTAAATGGGATATTTGAAAAAAATAAGGTCTGTAGCAAACACACGTTTTGGTTACACGTTTTGTATAGCAGGATATTCTCCACCTAGTACCACCACATTTCGATTGTTTGAACTGTAAATGCAATCAGGAAATATGAAATGCTAACATCAGGCTATAAAGAAACTACATCCCGGTCACATGACTTCACGCTAACACCGCTGAGCTAACTGTGGCTAATGTTAGGTGTGATGACGATCATTAGTCTCATTTAACTACTTCTTAGTTGTTTCTTAGACACATAGGGCGCGGCAGTAGCTTAGTCTGTAGGGACGTGGCTTGGGAACTGAAGGTTCGCCGGTTGAAATCCTTATGTTTTTGGTCGGGGCCTCCTTTCCCAGGGTTTACAGATTCATTCCTCCACCACTCTATGTGTCTCGTTAAAAAACTGTGGAATATAAAATCACACTCAATCTGCCTGAATCAGCATGTTCAAATAAAACTGAGAAAGACTGAATGCCACTGACTTCAATTCTAATAAGAATCATGGCTCTCTTTCTTTCAGAGCGAGGGAACGTTGCTAGCAACAGGCTCATACGACGGCTTTGCTAGAATATGGACAAAAGACGGTAAGATCAAAGCTCAGTAGGGACGCTCAGATGATGAAATGTTTCCAGTCTCTTTCTTAGCTGAGGATATAACAAGAATTTTCATATTTCCAGGTAACCTGGCGAGTACATTGGGTCAGCACAAAGGTCCTATATTTGCACTCAAGTGGAATAAGAAAGGAAACTTCATCCTCAGTGCTGGTGTAGACAAGGTAAGGCAAAAAGTTTGATAAATGCTTTAAAAAAGTTTTTGAGATCATTGAGGTATTAAATGTTTTAACAGAACAATCAGAACAAGTTTATTCACTTTGTTCCTCAGAATGTTAAAGTCTTTAGGGTTAGGATGTTCACTATCATATTTGTTGGTGTTTATTGAAGTGTAGTAGATGCCATTTTAAACCAAATTCCCAATATTGCGACCAACATAAAATCTAGACTAGACCAGTTAAGCCAATTTATATTCTGATAGATGCCTACCACTGATTCATAAATATTTGCACACACTCTTGTGCTACCTAAGATTTTAAATCACAAATAAACATAACAAATAACAGTTTTGCATTTATTGAAGCTGAACGTGTTTCAGTGGGCCTTTTTATATACCTGAATCAGCAACAGGTGCCCAGCCGGGATTTGGAAGCACTTTTGGAACCAGTTCTCCCTCTTTTTGGGGATCCGGCTCTCCGAGTCCTCGCCCTGCGATTTCCCAGGGCTCTCAACATCCTGCCATCCCTGCTCTTCCTGCTGCTGAGTCTTCTGGAGGCTTTTTGTGGCCCGATGAAGGGCGGACCTGTTGTCCTGCCACTGGATGCGAACGCACTCCAACTTCTGCTCAGCCTTTCTTAGAGCGTCACCAAGCTTGATGTTCGCCTGTCCTTGCTCCGTGAGCAGAGCCACATAGAAGGTCTTTGCTTTTTTCTCCTACAAAGGAAGTACGTTCCTACGAAGTACGATTTCCAGCACCCGTACGAAATCCTTGAAAATGCTTGAATTTTGGGAATGGTGCTTGAATTTGGGATAAAGTGCTTGAAATTGTAAATGCTTTACTTCGCTTTTTAGATTAAAAGAAAATAAAGAAGTCGGAGCGCGCTTAATTGCTTAGCTTTTACATAAAACAGCTCCGCTCCGGCCTTCCCGCGCAATGCGCGTGACCGGCAAGTGTTTTTGTTACGTGTGTGACCTGGACATTCTGATGAGAGTGATAGATGACAGTATGCCAGGAGGTTGCCGTTTCAACGAGCGTTGGCTAGCAGAAGACAAATACAAGCCATGGCTAAGACGAGGGTCAAGCGAAGCCCAAGAGTAGCCTCCTGCAAAGTGTGCAACAATAACGATGCGAGAGTCTGCGCTGACGAGCCACACACCACACGAAAGGTACGCCATAGGAGAGCATTTTAGATTAGGCTAACGTTGCATGTAAAATACATGACACTTTTCTCTGTGCGCGGCAAAACAAGCTCGCCAAAATGGCTTCACTAGTCTGGCAGTATTTTAAGTGTCCGAAAATGACAATAAAATAGCGGTATGCAACGTGTGTGTGAAGCAGAAATCCTGCAGCTCCACCCGCTGTGACGGACCGGTGAGCGGAGCAGAACACACATTAAGAGTTAGACCTAACACACTTAGCTATTGTATCTACCTCTGGAACAAGCTAAACTAGTTATAAATATATTTATTCTTCACTGTCGGGTCACTCATTACTGGATCAGTGAGCTGCAGGAGATACTGACGGGCTGTCAGGAGAGAGAGAGGAGGGGAGAGAGGAAAAGAGAGCGCTTCCGCTAATTTCTCCCGTGTTATTATCCAAAGTGAATGTAAACTTGAATAATGTACTTCATTTGAATGTAATAATTATGTTGGTTGTTGTTTGTGGAAGCGCCAGTGAATGAGCCCCATTAACTGAGTTTTAAACATCACTTTAAATGGAAGGTCCCCATAGGCCCCGCCCACTTGATCGGTATCGGCCGATACTGATTCCGGCGATCGGCCCCAAAATTGGCGATCGGAGCATCCCTAATAATTGTATATGATATGTTTTATAATGATTGATCATTAAAGTGTTCTCAAAGCTGGTAAAGGTGCAGCTAGTTTGAATGACTTTGTATACTACAGAGTAGCTTGTGAATTTACTCCAGGTGGAACTAAAGTCTGATTTAACACTTGATTATATTTCACATCATTCATCCACATCTGTAAAGTAACTAAAGGTATTAAATACATGTAGTGGAGTAAAAGTACACCGTGTACCTCTGACTTGTGTTTACTGCCAACCTAAAAGTACCTCAAAAATAGTAATCAATAATGTATTGAAAAGTTATTTGGCTGATTGTTTTATATTGGCTCAGCCAGGTTATATGGGAGGCCCAGTCTACGTACAGATGGGTCACTCATTTTGAAATATTAAACTTAGTTTTCTTTTCTAACATTTTTCATCCTCATGTAGAATGCTATTATGAAACACACATTTGGTTGTTTATAGCATAAAGAACATCTGATTTAATGTGAGGTAGGGAAATAATCATTTGAGTACTTACAACAGCTGTAAGATACTTGAAAATGCACCTTGAAAATGCTTGAGAAGTGCTTGAATTTGACTTTGGAAAAGGTGTAAGAACCCTGACTTAAGCTCCTGCTGAGTCCATTCCAGAGCAGACTCGAGCTTTGTTTCTTTCTCAAGTTAAGCAAGAAGAGAAGCTGTTGATTTCTCTGCCTCCTGATGGAGGATGGTTTTCTCCATGTCGAAGCGGCAGCGTTGAGTCTGGGAGAGATGTTATGCCTTTTTCAGGGCAATTTGGAGATGCCTATTCTCTGCTCATCCTATTTGGAGATAACTCCCTAGCTCCACCTCCACGTGGTTTTAGACACTGCCAGCAAGCGTCTGTCAGCACAAAGCTCATCTGAAGGGCCTTTTTGTCTTCCTTCATGTGCTCCGATGCAACTTGCTGGTCCTTGTTTGTGGAGGTCAGTTGCACAAGATCTTTCTGGGCGCCGCGGAGCATCAGGCAGATCTTCTTCAGATGCTCTACCTGACTGATACTTCCAGCAAGCCCTTTTGTATCAGGGCTGCATTTGGTGACTTCCTGTCTTTCTCTGAAAATATCAAGGAAGTTGGCCAGTGAGTCCTCTTGTATTTCTTGGAGGACTCTGCCTTCAGATTCACCTGGGGTGAGCCTCGCTTCACTGTCCTGCAATGTCCACTGGGTACAAAACAACCTTAAAAATATGAAAAGGCATATCAGAATGCAATATGGGAGAAGATGTGTCTGTTTTGGAGACATTTGGTTTTGTTCAAGAAGAAATGCATTAACCAGTGGTTGTGACAGTTGGCTCTGCTGCTAATCTTTCTATAAAGTTGTAATGCATTTCATTAAATAAAGAATATACAAAATACAAATATATTCAGGAAAAGCTGTTTTTAATTTGTCAAGCAGAGAGCATCATAGCAGACAAGATTCAGCAGGGATACAGTCCAACTCTAAGTATTCAATACATCATTCGCCGAAGAAGGAATGGGATAATCCCACAAATGAATGACTGGTTGTTCTCGCACTGTCGTGGTCAATAGTCTGACTTTAGTGAGGTTAAACTTTTGATTGATTGATTCACACACTAATCTGCTTTTGGTCGATTGTGTATGATGGAACAAACATCACTACTCCCTAAAGTATTCAAAGCAACATGATCACTTCTCACCTAGAGACTAAATCATGCCGTTTTATTTCACAGAGTGTAAAGGGATTTAAATGTGGAGTTACTATCTTGGAGAAGGAGAAGATTCACTCCTCTTAAAAATGCTTGTTTGAAGTCCCTTGTGTCCCTTGGGTTGAGGTGTGATCTTTCCTCATGTAAATGTTCCCTTAACCAACACACAAATAAGCCCTTGCTTATCAAACTTGAGTTAACAACCAACTGCAAATTAGCGCCTAAATTGGCTTGGGAAAAGTCCAATTATTTCCTACAGAACTGAGCTACAACAACAGCTATCAACAAGCTTGTCGTATTTTGCTACTTGGACAGAACCCCTGAGCTACACCATAATGACGCTTTACATGACATCCAGGGACATAAAACGATGTTTGACAGAGAGCCCCTACTTTTAATGCAGCCGATTCAAAGAAAATACAAATAAAACATTAAACCGAAGTTTTGGCTCTTCTGCAACATCTGATGTAACACACTTGTATATTTTTTACTCTAAACCTTAACAATATAAAGATTAAACTAATCGATATACCTGCATGTCAGCCTCTACTTACGCTTACCAGATATTACTGATTGACAGGTGACCGGTGCACCTCCACAATGAACATACTCATGCTCCTGTCAGAAAATGACAACAATGAAACCTTTGTTGTTCAACATTGCCATCTAGTGTACAGAAGAATAATAGCATTCTCATCGTCACCTTCAGAATACATTTTAATACCCCTGTTTTGGTGTCTTGGTGGGGTACAAAGCGTGTGAGTGATTGTGATGTATTAACTGTCTGTATATCCTCCTTCACATTAGTGTGTGTGTGTGTGTGTGTGGTGTGTGTGTGTGTGTGTGTGTGTGTGTGTGTGTGTGTGTGTGTGTGTGTGTGTGTGTGGGTGTGTGTGTGTGTGTGTGTGTGTGTGTGTGTGTGTGTGTGTGTGTGTGTGTGTGTGTGTGTGTGTGTGTGTGTGTGTGGTGTGTTGTGTGTGTGTGTGTGTGTGTGTGCTGTGTGTGTGTGTGTGTGTGTGTGTGTGTGTGTGTGTGTGTGTGTGTGTGTGTGTGTGTGTGTGTGTGTGTGTGTGTGTGTGTGTGTGTGTGTGTGTGTGTGTGTGTGTGTGGTCTTTCTTCACACAGACCACAATTATTTGGGACGCACATACGGGAGAGGCCAAACAACAATTTCCTTTCCACTCAGGTGAGTGACAAGAAGCTTTCTGTTTTAGACTGACTTAACTTTTGCTAAACTCTAGTGACACCCAAGTGACGATAAATTCATATAATCAGAGTTCTTTGCACACATTGTGACTATGTGTTTCTGCCACACTCAACCCAACTTGTCTGTACACATTTTACACTCAGCTCCGTGTTTGACATGGTTGCTATGTTGCCGTGCAAAAGTGACCATTAAATAAATGTGCTGAAAGCTTTTTTTTTGTTTAAAAAACAATATCTGCCCTTAGAGTAGGGTAATAGTGAATCATCAGATTCAAATATGGCATAAAGAAATCTATTGTGTGGTGTAGTTCCTCGACCCCAAAATTAGATAGCATTTTAACACTTCCTGTACCCTCGTTTCCAAGGCAACGCTTTTTGGTTAGCTTCCCAAAATAAGGTGTGTGGTTAACACAAGCTCACAAGATTTTCCCGCTTTGTTCTACGACCAAAAAAAGTTAATAAATACCCCACTCGTGGATGTCTGAAGTTTCTAGGTGTCTTAAAAATAACGGTTTCTAACAAGTGACTGAATAAGACTACTAAACGAATCACGTCAGCTTTAACTGCGTTAAGCTTAGCGGTGTTGATGTGAAGTCATGTTACCGTCATGTGGTTTGTTTTCATAGCCAAATGTTAGGTATTTACTTCTGGTGATTGCATTTATGCTTTCAAATTCACAAAGTGGTGTCAAAATGTGGAGATATTCCTGCTGAACAAAACGTGACGGTGTCATAAATGAGTCGGAGCTTATTTTCTGTAACATTCCAAAAACCAATCGAGGGAGTGCTTGCGATGCTAACATTTGGGCCGGTCACAAAAAGATGTAATCACTGCACCACTCTGTTGTCATAGCATCGTGTTCATCTGGTCTTCTCTCCTGGTGCTCTGTGCCTCAAAGCTCTCCTTCCTCCCCACAGCACCGGCTCTGGACGTGGACTGGCAGAGCAACAACACGTTCGCCTCCTGCAGCACAGACATGTGCATCCATGTGTGTAAGCTGGGTCAGGACAGACCGGTCAAGACCTTCCAGGGACACACGGTGAGACAGGACACGTTGGCTCTTACTAACTTTAGCTTCTGATTTAAAATAATGAATGCCCCTTTAGGGTATTAGGTGCTTATCCAACGTCGGTGTATGACCTACAGTACTGTTTACTGTATCAAAATCCACATTTTAGCCACCTTAAAGAAAAGCCTACCTAAAAAAGAAATTAGAATCAGTTTAAGTACAAGCTATATTTAGAATATTTAACTATTTTACCTTGACATAAGAGAGCCCTTTCTGATGGGAAACTGAAGGCGCTATCAATAATTGCCAAAGCCACCAGACTTTGTTGAACTTTCTTTTCTTTTTTTATACGGAATTTACTTTTGTACCGCTGCCTCAATTAGATAGTTAGTTTGTGTCGTTGTGTGATTACAAACCAAGCAAACTAATACACAATAACACAAACAAACCAACCAATCCAGTCGGCAATAAACCAGCCGCTCCCGTGCTCTGCAATTTCAGATTAATATTTTTCTCAGTGGAGTCTGGTGGCTTTAAAAAAAAAAAAAGCATAGATAACGGCTTCAGTTAAGGATTTTTTAGGTAAGCCTTTCTTTTATCTGGGTAAAATACGTTCTGCTACTGACCCCGTCCTCAGCAGTTAAACACAGTACTGTAGGTAATACACTGACATTTAATTACACCACCTTCACCTTCAAACTATCCCTTTAATAGCATTCATTCACAACTCTAACAACATACAACTGTCTACTATGGGACGCTACAACCCAGTCTCACGGCAATTCGTGTTATATTCACGAAATGAATCTATTGATTCGTGTTCACCAACACGATTTCCCCATTTATTTCGTGTCACACAGAACGATCTTTTTTTTGAAACTTTTTATTTTAGTTTTTTATAAACAACCAGACAGACAGCACAATAGCAGTTGGCAAACAAGTAGGATGACAACAGTGCGATTCGAGTCCGACAGGACACAAAACAAAAAAAAAAAAAAAGGACTGCGACAGGACAAATAAAACAACAAAATCTAAAACTAAAGGCTTTGAGTCTAAGTCCATTATTAATAACGTAATGAAAAAGTAGAAATCAAATAAAAACATAGCACTTGTTGGGTCAGTCAGCCGCCCACTAATCACAGTTTAACACCGCAGGTCCACCATCATATTGTACAGAGACATCCGGCATGCCCAGCTCCCGTATATACCTGTAGAAGGGGTTCCACATCTTGTGGAATTTCCCCAGGGAGCCCCTCAGTATGCACCTTATTTTCTCGAGTTTGGCTGAATTTAGGACTTCTTTTAACCACAAGGTGTGTGAAGGGGATATTGGAGACTTCCACATGAGCAATATCAGGCGTCTGGCTAGTAAAGTAACAAAGGCTATGTAGGCTGTCTCCAGAGAAGAGAGTGGCCATGTGGGTGGGGTTACACCAAACAGTGCGGTCATAGCATTAGGAGAGGTCGGTTTTCCAGTGATTTCTGACAGTGATCTAAAGATTTCAGTCCAATAAGAGTGTAAAACCGGACAAGACCAGAACATGTGTGCATGACTCGCCGGTGCTTGGCTACATCTGTCACAAGTTGGGTCCACCTCCTTATATATTTTAGAGAGCCTGAGCTTAGTAAAGTGTGTGCAATGCACTACTTTGCACTGAATCAGTCCATGTCTAGCACAAATAGAAGATTTATGTACATTAGCAAGGGCTTTTTCCCAGAGTTCCTCAGAAATCTCCTCCCCAAGATCTATTTCCCAAAGAGATTTAATGGAGTTCAGGGTAACCAAACAAAGAGAATAAATCTGAGCGTAAATACACGTCATCATTCCCTTCAGAGTAGGTAACGGCCTAAGGAGTGTGTCTAGTGGCGAATCAGTTGGGTGATTAGGAAACTGAGGAAATCTATTATTAACAAAACTGTGAATCTGTAGATACCTGAAGAAATGTTGCCTAGGTAGTGCACATTTGTCAGATAGCTGTTGGAAAGAAGCAAATGTGTTGTGAATATAAAGGTCTTTGAATGTTTTAATGCCTTGGTTAAACCAAATAGTAAATGCGCCATCTACTAAGGATGGAGGAAAAACATGGTTTGCAGTTAAAGGGGCTAATGTAGAGTATGTTTGGAGACCAAAGAAACGTCTGAACTGATTCCAAATTTTCAAGGATGCTTTGACAATTACATTTTTAGTGTAAGCAGAGGAGGGTCTTAATGGGAGAGTGAGCCAATGCTGAAAGAGATACTGGACTACAGGAAGCAGCCTCCATTTCAAGCCAAACAGGCAGAGAGTGCTGTGAGTCAGACTGCAGCCAGGACTGTATTATTCTCAGATTAGTAGCCCAATAATAGAACCTCAAATTCAGCAGAGCAAGTCCACCCAGCGCCTTTGGTCTCTGTAAAAATTGCTTGCGTATCCTTGGGGTTTTCTTGTTCCAAATAAAGTTCGAAATAATAGTGTCAGTTTTACGAAAAAAAAGTTTGAGGGAGGAAAATGGGCACACATTGAAATAAATATAGACATTTTGTGAGTATATTCATCTTTATAGAATTAATTCGGGCAACCAGAGACAGATTCAACACTGACCAGCGGTCGAAGTCTTCCTGTACGCGGGACAAAAGGGGGGCAAAATGAGCTTTATAAAGATCTTTAAATGTATCGGTCACCTGGATCCCGAGGTAAGTGAAGCTGTGTGGTGCAGTTTTAAAGAGAGTCCGAGTTCAAAATATTATTTACATTGCTTTTAAAATCGTTCTGTGTGACACGAAGAAAATGGGAAAATGGTGTTGGTGAACACGAATCAATAGATTACATTTATTTCGGGACTATTACACGAAATGTCGTGAGACTGGGTTGGACGCTAAGACAACATCTATTTTGAAATGTATTGCTAAACTAGGTATATTATTTATTATGTTGCCCTTGTATGTCAGTCAAATATGCTGTGTTTTTTTTCAATTTCTAATCTTCTGGATGCAGAATGAGGTGAACGCCATCAAGTGGGATCCCACTGGCAGCTTGCTGGCCTCCTGCTCAGACGACATGACGCTGAAGGTCAGTCCTCATCACCTGCATATTTATTTTGTGTCATTTTATGGCTTAGATGACAACTTAAATGAGCCATAATCAGACAAATGACTCATTATATGTAGTGATAAATCCATGCTGACAGCTTGTTTCTTCTTCTCTGGTATAGATCTGGAGTATGAAGCAGGACACATGTGTCCATGACCTCCAGGCCCACAGTAAAGAGATCTACACCATCAAGTGGAGCCCCACTGGGCCCGGGACCAACAACCCCAGTGCCAACCTCATGCTGGCCAGGTGAGAGCGCCAAGCAGCCATCATATGCACAGTCTAATGTTCCTAAACAGGCAGTTTTCGAAAAATAAGATATTTTATAATAATTCTGAGGAGGTATCAGGATATCAAGACAAACTCAATACATTGTGTTGCAGAGGTGGACTCGAGTCACATGACTTGACTCGAGTCGCATATTTTTGGACTTGAGACTTGCTTGACTAACATTGATAAAAGACTTGACTTGACTTTGACTTGGTACTTATGACTTGAGACTTGACTTGACTTAACTTGAGACAGATGACTCGAAAGGACTTTACTTTTTAAAATTAAATATTTGTTTTTGTATTGTACGGAGCCCCTAAAGGGCAATGAAAAAAAAATATATATACTGTATCTCGTTCGCTCAAGAAAGTTACCGGAGTGCCAAGTAGGAAGTGGAGCACACGGGAGACAACTGTTTCATTGCAGACTGTAATCTTTATGTTGGGAAATGGCAGTGCATACATTATTTTAGATATATTTTGAACTCGGACTCTCATTCACTTCATGAAATCTCTACAGCACCAGGAGGCAGCGGGATGTGTAACTCCGCCTCTGAGAAGTGCAGCACCAGTGCGCAAAGAGCTGTGCCTTTTACGCAACGCCTTCACTGTGTTTACTTTCATTAGAAAGAAGTGTGTGTGTGTGTGTGTGTGTGTGTGTGTGTGTGTGTGTGTGTGTGTGTGTGTGTGTGTGTGTGTGTGTGTGTGTGTGTGTGTGTGTGTGTGTGTGTGTGTGTGTGTGTGTGTGTGTGTGTGTGTGTGTGTGTGTGTGTGTGTGTGTGTGTGTGTGTGTGTGTGTGTGTGTGTGTGTGTGTGTGTGTGTGGTGGACTATGATTATGATTTCAAGAGTGACTCCATCATGCTCTGATGATGTCAACAGGGCGCTGTCTTTTCATCGTACACACTCTGCAGCAGACTGTGTGCTGATGGTTGTTACTGTCAGAGTGTGTTTAAGACAGACAAAGGGAGAAATAAAGAAGGGAAGATGAATAACAAATGCTTGCCTCACCCCTCAGGATATTTGCTCTGGTCTCCGATGCTATGCTTTTGCAAGGAGTGTCACTACCAGATGTTATCACTCACATCTGGCTCCAATGTGTTTTTCTCACATGTTGTGCATCCACAAATTCTCACAACATCTTTTAGAGTTTTTTGGGCCATTTTTTGTGGCAGCCCATATTGTCACTAATATTATTATTAACATATTAAGCCTATTAGCTTTGGCTCCCTCGCTAACTTCTGTGAGACCTTAGGGCTTCACTGTCTTTACTTTCATTAGAACAGCTGAAGAGCGACCGCAGGCTGCTTTGTTTGAACCACACACACATCGAACTGCCCGATTAATTATATTGTGTGTGTGTGTGTGTGTGTGTGTGTGTGTGTGTGTGTGTGTGTGTGTGTGTGTGTGTGTGTGTGTGTGTGTGTGTGTGTGTGTGTGTGTGTGTGTGTGTGTGTGTGTGTGTGTGTGTGTGTGTGTGTGTGTGTGTGTGTGTGTGTGTGTGTGTGTGTGTGTGTGTGTGTGTGTGTGTGTGTGTGTGTGTGTGTGTGTGTGTGTGTGTGTGTGTGTGTGTTCAAGTTACCATGAACAGTCATTTACACACATCTGGCCGACTATATGTATATGTGGGTGTTCCCAAATGAAAGAAATGTGTTTAATCTTAATGTTGCACTGTCAGCACACACACACACATATCATGCGCCCTGGTACATACACTATTCCGTTGTATTGGTTTTAATGCAATATTTCTTTGTGCACAGACACAGTTAGGAAAACAATGAGACAGAGTCATATGGGAGCGCCTTACACAGGAGAAATGCTGTGACCCGGCTGAAGGGGAGCCAGGGCAGGAGGCTTAACATGTTGATGTAAAATATTTGTGTTGTACTCCTGTTATCACTTTAGAGCCCTTTTAGAACTTATAGGGTTATCATTTCAGCGCCCCATTCTCCATTGCTGTTTATGTTGAAAATAAAACTAAACTTTTCATAACCACAATATTTTAACTGATTTAAATGCGGAAACTGGGGTTATTCATCAGAATTTAGTATGACTTGACTTGTGACTTGCTTGACCTGAGCAATGACTTGGTTGAGACTTGGTCATGACTTGCACATGTATGACTTACTCCCACCTCTGGTGTGTTGCATAGTCTAGAGCAGGGGTGGGGAACCTCCGGCCTCTGGGCCGTATACGGTAATTTATAAACACACGCAAAAAAAAAGAAAATGAAGAAATCTAGACCGCAAAAGAATTAAACAAGCGAGTGCCTGTTTTTCCTGGCCATGGTCAGGGTCCTTGAACACAACACGAGCCTAACGTGTCATCACGTGGTATATGTATCGTCTGACAGGGGTGCAGTGCTGACGGAGAGCACCAGAACGCCACTCTAGCACTTAAAAAATTGCAGTACCCATAAGGAGCTGTACACATGCCGCAGTTTTTTCGTGGCTGTGTCTTTAGTTGTAAGCCCAGTGGCGATCTGTCATACTGATCATACAATAACGCCATCGAAAATAATATGATACAGTACAACTACTTCTGGGTCTTTGTGTGTCATTCAAGTTCGGCTGTGTGTGTGTGTGTGTGGCACGAGCGCATTTTGTTTGAGTAGCGTTACTTTTATAATTCAGTAATCACACTACAGTTACTAACATTGCCCGACACGCATTACTTCGTTACTTTTATAAAATCAGTAATCACACTACAGTTAGCCTACTAACACAGAATGACTAGATTCTCCCTTTGACAGACAAGAGGGATTTCCGCCGCAGGTTTATATTTACGTAACATTTGCGCGACTTGCGCGTCCACATGCAGTGCATAAACATGGCTGAGTCAACAGCGATAACTTTCGAGGGGTGGAGGTATGCCCATTATTTTGAGTTCTTCCGAAGAAAGGACAGGAATGTGACGGTGACACCCTTTAATTTACTGCGACGACATGTCGGGAAACCCCCTCAAGGCGGCACCATGCATATCACGCCGTAAAATGCTGCTTCTTATTTTAAGTTTTCTTGCCTTGCTCCGCTCTGGGGGGGGGGGGAAGAGTGTGTTGGGGTGCCACTGATGGTGATGAAAGCTGGTTCGATGGGCCCCCACAGACTCTAGAATCGCCACTGTCGATGGGGAACAAAGCTGTCCGGTCCCACATGCTAAGTGCTAGCCAGAAAGCCACGGCGTTTAAGTCCTGACTCTCCCGATGGCCAATCCGTGCCTCCCCTGACTGCACGTCACTGACACACACCGCTGCAGTGCAGACTCTGCACGGAGGAGCAGCGGAGTCCGGGCGATGCTGCTCATCCAAGGAAGAGACACGTTCACTAAGCCAAAAAAACTATATCCGGTCACAGAGATCTGCTATTTTAAAGTAAAGTCAACACATATCGACTCTTAATATAGTCTATATTAAGAACGAGAAAAGTCTTAACATATATATCGTTTTTTGTATGACAAATGTGCGAGGGTGATGACGTCAGAGCATCGTCCTATGTGCCGGGGCTTAGCCCCGGACAGCCCCGGCCCAATTTAACCCCAGGGTATTTGTGAGGGAGCCCCTATATGGCATTACCCCGCTGAAGCTCACCAAAGTTTAATATATTTCATCGTTCAAAGTTTTGTCAATTGTTATGTGTATTGGTCAAATACTGGTTTCTAATGGTTTCTGAGGAGTTTTACTGGAATGAAAGAGCACAAAGTGTGTCTACAGAAGCAACAAAGCAGCATACTGCATTACACCTGACCTTGACAGAGAGGTTGAAGTTCATGTGGAGAGGAGGCTTCAGTAGTCTGTCTGTTTTATCTCTTGGGAACAATGCCTAAATCAATGCATTGGGTTGGTCACACAATTCATTCTCTTGTGCTTTGTTCTATCTGAATTATGAGAAGGAGTTATCACAAGCTGTTTAGTTGTGCTATCTTACAATCAATACTGTATATTGTAAATTTGAGGTAAAGTGTGTCGCCAATGTAACCGGTTAGAACTCGAAGTTGCGATGAGGTCTTAAAATGTATGGAAAGGGTCTTAAAAAAGGTCTTAAAAGGTATTACATTTGACTTCAGGATTCCTGCATATACCCTGATGTAATATATTACTTTTTGAGTAACGACTAGGGCTGCTCGATTATGGCAAAAATCATAATCTCGATTATTTGGGTCAATAATTGATATCACGATTATTAAAAACGATTATCCATTTACTTTGAAAACATCAATTGATTGGAGAAAGAAAATGTGAACAGTATGTTTTTAACAGTTGATTACCCTGAACTTTAAGTATAATTCAACTGAAAAACCACAAAAAAAAAAAACTAATAATAATAATAAAAAAATAATCGTTTTATTTCGATTATGTTGTTTTCGTAATCGTTGCAAGCCATAATCGTAATTGCGATTAAAATACGATTAATTGAGCAGCCCTAGTAACGACCCCATCTCTGCGCGAGTCATGGTAAGATATCTGGATTAAGAGGTTGCTTTTTCTTTGCACACATGAAAGAAAGAAGAAATGAATGGGCTGTGATTTTAGTTTTTTTAAGCAGAGGTCAATAATTTGTACGGCCCTCAGAGGATGTTGTAAAAATTGAAATGGCCCTTGAGAGGAAAAAGGTTCCCCACCCCTGGTCTAGAACAATTTATCTAGGTTTATCGAAATTGCATAATGGACTAGTGCAATATTCAAGTTCCAGGATTCACAGTATTTGTTAGAGTCTATGAATATGGTGAAATATCATTCTGTATGAGGTAATGTGGTGCTGCAGAGACATCCCAGCATACTCATCATATTTCACAGACTTAAAAAAGGATGTTTGTTTGGTACAGATCTCCCTAAGAAATCTTACCATCATAATTCAATGCATTTTCCCTAATAGTGAGAATTATGATGCAAAAATGATCAATCCCTCTAATACCGGGAACCATATAGCAATTATGAATTATTTCCAAATCGTGCAGCCCACCTGCTGCTAATATAATATTCAGGTTTGACTTGCCTTAGTTTTTGACTGATGATAACATGCAGAGCCAAACAACCAATACGCCTCAGTCTTATTGGTTGTTTGGATGCTGAGTCACCACACTGCCAGTTTTGATGCTCCAGCTGCACCTGTAAAGGTTGCCACTGTGGTGGGCTCGGTCAACCGGATCAGAGAGGGTCTTCCACCCAAGCAGCCCTAAAATCCCAGTGCGCCTGAGCGGAATAAACAAACTCACAATGCCATCCACGACATAGTATTGAGAGACAGAAGTATCCCTCAGTGTTTCAGATAAAATGACTGTGCCTGGTCAGGTCTGTCACAACAACGACATTATTGACTTATTGTACGATTGAAAACAACTTCATACATTTTCCTGATTATGGTCCACAGCTCTGGTTATATCTAACTTAAAGCTATTTTTTTTTTAACAAAGGTCTTAACCATTTAAAAAAACTGGATTGGCAGTGTAAAGCGTGTTTAGGAATGAATAACACTCTCTCTTTACTTACGACGTTTGTGGTTTTGTTAGATTTATGTTTTATTAATTTAAAACATGTTCCATAATTATTTACATAAAAATGCAATTTTTTCTGAAATGACATATGTCGTTGAACAAAAGAAGTTATCGGGAAAGGCCTAGATATGGTCTCAGATTAGAAGAACATTTATAAATACAATTTATTACCAAAAAAATGCATGCATAAATAAAGGAATTAATGAAGTAGTTTCCCTTTAAATGAGATCCAGCATTTCTATTGTGCATAATGTTTCTCACGTGTCAAACATTGCAGTTGATATTCCTGCGACACCACTCTTTGACACCCCTCCCTCCTCTGCTTGTTCCCTCGCTGCAGCGCATCGTTTGACTCCACGGTGCGGCTGTGGGACGTGGAGCGGGGGGTGTGTATCCACACTCTGACCCGCCACCAGGAGCCCGTCTACAGCGTGGCCTTCAGCCCGGACGGCCGGCACCTCGCCAGCGGCTCCTTCGACAAGTGTGTGCACATCTGGAACACTCAGGTCAGGGATAATGCTTTAACATTTTTGCACATACACATTAATATCAAAGCATTAGGAGAAGGTTTGCTGATGTGTGTGTGTGTGTGTGTGCAGACGGGGGCTTTAGTGCACAGCTACCGGGGGACAGGAGGGATCTTCGAGGTGTGCTGGAACGCCACAGGCGACAAAGTAGGAGCCAGCGCGTCGGATGGATCGGTGAGTTGTTTCTCACACACACTTTAACCTCTATTCACACTACACTAACCAGACACCTGACCCAGGAAGTGAGTGTTCTTAAAGGTTGACCCCAAGCCCCCAGGAAGTGCGCCGGACTCTGAGGAAAATATTGTGGCCAAACGGCGGTACTACACTTCCGTATCAGTCGCTGGGCCCGGAAAGACTTTTTCTCATTAACTAACATTGGGAAAGAGACGTCTGTAAATCGTTGGATATTTTTTTTTAAAGTAAATAAACTACCCAGTATGAACATTTATATAGCCCTTATTAAAAACATTCGGACCACGCCACCCGGCACGTTCATGTGACGTGTTCAGTACTACATGAGTTTTACCTTTACCCATGGATGCACAATAAGAACGGATTATATGAATACTTTCGTGACGTTTCGCTCTCTCAAAAGTTGGGCCATTTTGTCTTCATGCGCCAATGAGCAACTCTCATAGGAATGAACGAGGCCCCGCCTCCCACGCTGTATCCAGTTCTTATTATACATCCATGGTTGACCCAGGTAGGCCGACCCCATAAAAGCTCCGGGTGAAACCTGCCTCTGCGGGGCAAGGCAAGGCAAGTTTATTTATATAGCGCCTTTCAACACAAGGCAATTCAAAGTGGTAAAAGGTTTTACTGCTTGTCCCAGGACATGTGGTTTCAAGGACTTTAGCACCAAGGCACTTGAGATTGTAATATAATACAGACTGCTCTGGCGGCTGTGTTTTAAAAAAAAAAACAGGAGACAGCTTCAAACACAGCCTCAAAAACTGGATACAATTTATATTTGTTGGAGTTCAATTCATAAACACTTAATAGAGCCATTGGTATCTGATGTTGTTTTACTGATTGCTAAATAAGACATCTAATGGTTGTTGCTCATAACTAGCAGCCTAACCCTATTAACAGTTGCTCTGGATAAAAACCCTTTTCGTGTTTGAATCATATTCTGAAAATAACTAAGAACATTAATTAATACTTATTTATTCAATTGCAGTCCTATATTTGTAAGCTCTCTCTCTACATGCTAATAGTAGAAGTGTTAACAAGCATTGACCCGGGGAGCAGCAGGGCAGAGAGGCTGAGGGGGGACGCTCCGGAAGCCTGCCTCTACGGCTGAGTGTCTGCACTACTGCTGCAGAGCTAAAGAGACATGACAACACATCTGGATTCCTGCAGAGTAACGCTATAAGCACTCTTATTGGCTGACTTTATCGCAGGTATGCCATGTGCAACCATGAAATAAATACAGGTATTGCTCAATAATGATTTCCTTTAACCCTAACCTACAAAAGGTTCATATCTACATCAATGTTTCAACACGTGTTATCTTAATCTCTTGACAAGCCTCCACAGTGCACAGATGATTAACAATTGGATCAAGGCTTGAAACAAATGAACTAAATGAGGGTTGTGTTTCACAACAGCAAAACATGATACCCATTCGCAAACTCTCACAAAACATGTGCAGTATAATCTAAGTCTCATATTTCCAGTTGTTTTCTGACTACTTTAAAAAGAACAGCCTTTTCTTGCTATATTAAACACTTACACAGATGAGCAGTGCAGCAACACAACTACCAGGCTGTTTATGGCTATGTACTCAAAAGTGTAGTTTTAATGAAAATGCATGCGTTTGTGATGGTGGGCATAGGACTGGATAAATGAGTTGCTTTTGTTCAAACGCAGAGCCCTTTTACCTCAATTCACTTTTCTCTGTTTTTGAAACTGGAGGCATGTGAGAAAAAAAATCCAAGGTAACATGGGTTAGGAATATGACAAAGTATTTAGAATTATTCCTGTAAATTGTTGATGAGCAGGCTTGGGAAGTGACTTGTTAATTACGTTAATTATGTAACTGGATTACGCAATCAAATACAAAAAATGACATCATCAGATTACTGGTACATTAAATGGGGATTACTGGAAGGATTACAAATGATGTATTAAGAAGCACACGCGCACACATTACAACACTTCATGATTCTCACAAAATCAAGTGAAACTAGTCTCGGATAAACCATAGCAAATGTTCTAGTTCAGTGGTTCTCAACCGCGATCATATCGCAGAACAAAATAAAAATCAAAAAATGGCATAAACTATTATTAAATATGTCGGGTAGTAATAGATTTATTTATTTTCTTCTCAGAGTGTACCAGAATGCGTAGTTTATATGTTAGTCTTTCTAAAAATCTCCTGGGGGACAATCCCCCCAGACCCCCTGCTGGGGTTGGGTTTTCAGCATGTCATGTTTTCCACGTGTGGTGAATTTTCAGGATTGGCTCCAAGTCTGCCTTTTTATTGAATACAAGTCAAGTGTGCCTTTTTTTGTTATACAGTTCAACTTTGATTCTAGAAACTTAATGACCATCATCAGATTAAACTTTCTTTAAAAGCTTACTTTTGTTCTGTGAAGGAATATAAAATGCACTGTACTTTACTTTAATTACAATTGTATGCTGATTTTTTGTTGAATAGATTTGAGCGGTTCAAAATTGTGGGTCACGATTTATTGACGAAGGAAAAAAGTGGGTCCCGAGGCCTGACCAGTTGAGAACCACTGTTCTAGTTCATCGTGTCTTTTCTTCTTTAATAATGTTATATTATTCTGTTGTCTTACATTATACACTTAAGTAAAAGCCCTCTCATTGATATGTATTTTCTCTTGTATTTATATGCATTGCTATTGAGCTAATCCTAAAAAAGTAGTTACGGAAATTAATCAGGTTAGATTACTTTATATTCCGATTCTTCGATTTGGTTACTTTTTCCAGTTATATAGTAATAATGGAATTCCTTATTAAAGTAACCCTCCCAACCTGCTTATGAGTAATGAAACATACATCCTGCCAGCGCCTGTGAGACTCCTGACGTGGGATTTACTGAAACAGGAAGTAGCCTTTTGTTCTGACTGTCTTACTTCCTGTTTTTTCCAGGTTTGCGTGTTAGACCTGAGGAAATGACACTCGTCAGGGGGAGCCATGGACCGACTACGAATGTGTACATAGCCAAAATGACTGAGTGTCCCTGCCTGTCCGCCACACTGCTGTAGTCCCATCTCACACCATGGCCCGCCATCACAGCCAAATGGAGGACCACACCTTGGACACATACAGATGTAAATCATCGCATGGACACCTGTGCCGCTCTCTCAGACGTCCAGCAAACAAACATTTGTCTGTTTTGACAGACACATCACTCACACACCCAAACACTAGGACTCCTCTCGCTTTCATCTTTTTATCCTTTGTACCTGAACGATTTTTGGTTCTCTGTCGGCGTGTGCATATTGCATATGTCAGCAGATGTGTCATTGTTTTGAATTTTACTGCTACCTGCGGGTTAAATATTACATGTGGGGTGGGAGAGAAGAGGGGTGGGGCGGGGGTTTGAAAGGTATTAATCTTTTTACAGCCGGTGTTTATTAATAAGGTGTTCATTGGGAGATCCACTTATTGGCAACAAATGCAGAAGTTTAGCTTAGAAAAGGAAAATGGTTTTTAATTCTGTGGACTATTTTTTATCCAATCCAGTTGTTTTTTTTAACAAAGTATAAAGCAGTTAATCAAAGGCTGAACCGTCCTTTGTTTTTGCAACCTCAGAAATGGTTTTCAGGTGTTCATAACTCATCAGGTTAATATATAGAGCTCTAAAGAATTCAAAACCTTTTAGGCTGAAAGATAATCTTTGTAACAACATGTCACCAAACACCCATGTGCGTCCAGTGTCAGGTTTCCGTCACGGATCTGTGGCGTGAGCTTACGGATAGACGGCGGCTGAGCTGTGTCAGTAGTGAGGTAACGTGGCACAGGAAGAGCTTGCTTTCTGCCGTCGGTTCAGCTTCTGGGATCTGTGGAAATCAGAACTATGTCTGCTCCATGTGACGCCAACAACTAATAGTTGTAATCGTGCTTATTTCCTCGATTTTTGGCTTCTTGCTGACATTGCTAAATGATAATCAGACTAGGCCATTGTAATGTTTCCTTTGCTTGTTGGCATCACTTTAACACATCGAGTAGTGGTTTCGCTTAAAAAGTCCTGACTTTCACTCTGACAGCTTTCTTTTCCAGCAAGTACACACTACAGTCCCTGCCTTGGTTTGCCGTTGATAAAAATTAACACACACACACACACACAATCTACGCTGTGTTCCGGCCTATGCATGGACAGACAGCGCTTACGGTTTGTAGTTTTCAGAGTTGGCGTCTTGAGGCAAGTCTGTGCTTGTTGTTAAAAAGCAGACTCGCAGCATATGATCTGCATATAACATATATATATCTGTGCTATCACATGGGACTCTTCTTGTATGCCACTACGCTAAGGGTAGTTTTGAAGATGCTTCAAATACAGTGTGATGTCACTGTGCATCAGCAAGGGTCTTTACCTAAGGAATGGTGTCTTCTTTTTATGAAATACCATTAAACAGTCATAGAAAAATGTAAAAAGAGCAGCCATGTGAAGGGTGTTTTTTCTTTTTTGCACTTTAGACTAAAAATGTAGAAACAGGTGTGTTTATTTAAGTCATCGTAGACACATCTAATAAAATGCTCTTAAAGGTGAATTAGAATTGCTGCAGAAAGTGTGCATTGGGTAATTAAGGCGTCCTAGGGGTTCATCATTTAGGCAGACTTCGTGGCATTCCGGTTTTCATCTCTCAGCCATAACTAGCAGCTAACGGCTTGACAAACATGCGCGTATCGTCGGACTTTTCAGAGGTTTTCTCAGAATGTTAGTCGTTTAAAAAAAAAAAAAAAAGTACTGAAACTAAAGACTATTTTAAAGTTTGCTTTTACAGTCAACTGTGATTGGACTGTATGACAAAGACACTATTTCAAATGATGTCTATGACAGTGGAATGGTATTTTATAATGTTTTGTTTTTAGATGATAAGCTTTTTACACTGCATTCAAGTGTGTTTGCTTTTGTTCCTACAAAAAGTACTAACTTTAACTCTATCTTTGCTATGTCGGAGAGCCCTTGAAGGTTTTGTACTCCTCAAAACTTTTGTAATTCTGATTTATTTGTAGCTACGTACACAAAATGAAAACAAATAAATAATTCCGGATTAAATTGTCAATGTATTATAACCTGGAACATGTAAATACCAATTTGCAGATTTCTTTTTGTTGTGTTGTCTTTGCCCTCACTTATGTTGTACTCTTTTTCTCTCTCACTCACATGGTTGCAGTCAGCAACCTCTTGATCTGACTGTTGTAATATCACTCAGATTTCAAGGTCTAGAATAAAATCTATTTTGATAATATCAATGTGTTTGGTTGTACTTTCCATGTTGCTGCACTAACAACATTTCTTATGAAGGAGTTAATATTATATGGATTGCCATCCAGTTTTCTAGTGACAAAATGTTCCCTAGAACACTTATTCCAACCCTTTCCCTTAACTGACGACCCCTGAATTGTTGAGTGACATTTTATATTATATTTTATATTGTATTCATTCAACAAGTCAACAGTAAACTCACAAAGAGTAAGCATAACTACAGGAAATGTGTGTAAAATTAGCAAATTGGATGAATTTTGAGCAGATCAATTTCTCTAAAATTGTAAACTTAAATGAAGGTTTTCTTCTAACAATCAGTTCTATTCTTTTGTTTTCTCAATAGTTTGAGTAGAAGCCAAATACCTTCAAAACTAAAGAAATTCTCATCATTCTCAGCTGTACTTTATATTCAGCGCTAAAAAGCAAATGCTAGTATGCTTGCTTACATGCTAATCCAAGATAGTGAACTTGTTAAACATTACACCTTCATAACATCAGCATGCTAGCATTGTCATTACATGCATGTTAGCATTGGTATTTTGAGCATTTAGCATTTTTATCATGAGTATGCAAGCATTGTCACTCATAGCACATTAGTATTGCCATTGTGAGCATTTGAAATATGAGCATTTTCATCTTGGGACGTTAGCATTGCTACTGTCAGTCTTTTAGAATTGTTTTTTTAAGCATGTTAGCATCGTCATATGAGCATGTTAGCATTGCCATTGTGAGCATGTTATCACTGTATTAGTCAACATGTTAGCATTTTCATTGTGAGAATTTTAGAGCTACTTAGCTTTGTCATTCTGAGCATGTAAGCATTTGAATTTTAGCATTTACTTCAAAGCACTTCTGTGAAGATGTTGTTATAGCAGCAGAAGAGGTGGTTGTTTCCACTGCACATAATTAAGCAATAGCTCACGACAGGCCGTGGTATATGGTCATTATATCACAGTTAAGGGGCGTGGTTCCGCCCGACGCGACCCTTAAAGGCCCTGACACACCAAGCAGTCACCAGAGAACTCGCCGACTGTTGCGTCGCCGTGTTCTCCTGCGTCTTGGCCATGTGTCGCACTGGAACACACCGCAAAGACTTCAGCCGAGCACGTACGAACTGCGCATGCGTGAGTGGCAATAACTCTCCTTACCAGCAGGCGGCGGTAGTGTGTATTCGTCATTCAAAAGAGGCAACAACCGGAAGACAGAGAAGAAGAACAGACTGCGTGATCTAAACAAACAACAAATAGCGTGTGCGTTCCATTTTCGCTCTCGTCCATCGAAAACATGTTTCGTGCGGTACTGGAGCTATCAGCCATTGGAGTGTTGCTTGTGGAAGACATTCTCAAGCAACCGTTTCGCTTCTCATGCACTGCTTCGCTAGCTGAACAGCCAATCAGAGTGATTTCTTGGTCCGACTGCCTGTGTCCGACGCACGGCTGATTCAACATGCGTCGGCCGTGAAAGGCCAAATAAGGCGTGTCACGGCCGACGGTTCGGGACACACCAAATTGAGTTTGGGCGACAGGGCACGCTTCGTCGTCCGACTAACGAAGACGGCCGATTTTGGCCTGGTGTGTCTGGGCCTTAGCTGTGATATAATGAGCATATATCACGGCCTGAAGTGAGCTATTGCTTTTATAAAACGGTTACCAAGTGTGGCAATATGAAAGAAAAATACACACTCTAATTTAAATAGTTTTTATTAGTAAATAATGATGTTCAAAATAAAATAGTCCCTCTGTTGCCTTCTGCACGAAACATAGTGCGAGGTGGTTGCTATGCAACAACACTAACAGCTAGCGAACATAGACAGAGAGCGTTGATCCATTATTTGGCTATTTATTTACATTAATGTGTATGTTGCCGTTTATTGTGCACCTACTGAAAAACTGTCCAGCATCAGTAGCATGGCTTACGTGGTTACTTGTATAGGTTGAGGTTGTTCTAGGCTGTTGCTTGGCGTGGCGAGAATATTGCTCCACTTTCTCCGGTCCCTGAGATTCGGCTTCCAGTAGCTCTGGAGAGAGCTTTCGCACCTGTGGCCACTAACGGTCATAATTTCTCTGCTTTGTTTCAAGACCCGCATCAGAAAGCTTTTGAAAGGTGGTACTTTTCCAGTTGGTCTACCTGCTCTGCATGTAGCTCTGCATGTCGTCGTTTAGGTGCTTTTTTTTCTGGAGATAGGCACTGCTCAATCCACTCCTCCATAGTAAGGCCACCCCGGAGGTCGAAGTTAACCTTAAATGTTCCCATCTTAAGCTTTGTTAGTTAGTTAGTTTCGTAACGGACGTAATGTAACAGTTGTAACGGTTGTAGCTTTTCTCAGACGTGGAGAGATACATGACTTGTGAAAAGTAACTACAATTCTACCCGTGATATACGCTCATTATATCATGGCTAAGAACCAATCAGATTGCTTGATTTGACTTGTCCGTTTTATAACATATAATATACATTCGTCTTTCACATTTTCACCTCAACCTTTGGCCTTACTGCAGTGTGTACCTATCTCTTTTCTGAAGGGATACTTCAAATCAAAAGAATGCTGGTACTCTAGTTTTCCAAAATATATATTTTACATCAATAAATACAATATTTAAAATATATATATTGTATAGGAAAATAAAAGTCCACACACACATTGACACTCATATTCATTCATTCGAAAATTGTTCTACAAAATATTCAAGATTTAACAAAGGACCTTCTGTTTCAGTTCTTCATTGAAGCCATAAAGTGCTTACAAGGTAATGAATAGCCCTACAGTTCAGCCTTCTTCTCTAGAAAAATATGAAAGGTCCCATGTCATGGCCATTTCTACTGATCATAATTCCATTGTTGAGGTATACTAAAATAGATTTATACTGTGCAATTTTCCAAACTCACATTGGTTTCTCATACAGCATCTCTGTATAGTATGTGTATTCACCAGGTATTCACTCTCTGTCCTAAACGGCTTGTTGGAGCTCCTGCCCCCCCCCCCCCTCCCTGTGAGCCCAGTGTGCTCTGATTGGTCGGGAAGTTGCGAGGCTCGTTGCTGCGAGCTGCTGCGAGGAGCAGACAGGCTTCCGGGTCGGCGATACAGCGAGAACAAGCGAAACTCATCCTGAGCACACACAAACACTCACAGCCGAAGTAAAAACAATAAGTGTGGCTTGATATTGAGTAAGAAAAAGGTTTATAACGCTGTGAGAATGGGTCTGCGGAGAGCATTTCTCCGTGATCCCAACGTAGCAGCCCGAAAAACGTTTACCCATTTAAACAGTCGTGGTAAATACCTTGTTTGTTTTAAACATCATAAATACACAAACAACAATGAATACTTACAGGTTGTGTACCCGAATCTCCCGCTGGTCCAAACAAAGTAGGAACAGCATCGTTCTTCAGTGCCCTACGCTGTACATATCCGGCATGAATCCCTGAGAGGTTTGGGAAGCTTTGTTTCGTGAAAGGCTGGCAGAGGGTGTGGCCTCTGGGTATCCCCACGTCAGAGTACCCAGGAAGTAAACAATGGAAAATGAGAAATCTCCAACGAGGCGTTTTGGGGCAGCATAGACTGTGTTAGAGTTTTACTCGCTACAGGGTGTACTTTGAGGGGTTTTGACTCTGCACACCGTTTACATGCATAAAAACCTTCATAACACACAAGGGGACGGGTAATAACCGGAAAAGCATGACATGGGCCCTTTAAGCAAAATGATTTATGTTAGAAAAATTACTGTCTGGCCCACTTTTGGACTGCTACTTGTAAACTGTTTAAATACATTATAAAAGCTTTGAATTTATACAATGTCGTATTAAAGGTCCCCTATTATACTGTTTTTGATCAATAAATTATAGGTCTCAGATATATACAAAACATTTCTCTGAAGTGTTTGAGTCAAAATACCAAACACATCATTGCAGCATCCCATAATCCCCTCTGTTTCAGCCCTGTTTCAAAAGTGCTGATTCTGTGTCTGTTACTTTAGATGAAAATAAGGAGCCACCCCCCACGCCCCTCTGAGAGATATTTGGTTAAAAAAAACACAATGGTGCTTGTTGAGGTCTCCATATTAAGTTGAATAATTAAAACGAATGTTAATATAATCAAATATAATCTTGTATAACCCACAATAAAAATGCATTATATTTCATGTTTTATCACCACGGTATATACAAAGTGTAAGTGGTTTGGAAAGTTGAGTTTAAGGCCTATTATAGTTTATGGCTGTCACTGTTTAGCAGAGGGGAGACAGTTGTCTTCATGTAACAGTTGTAAATATGCAGTGGGGTTTATTTGTAAATCATTTTGTATAATCACACAAATTCTGTGTTTTATATTAAGTAATTATGTGTGTGTATTTTATTGAATATTCAATACCTGACAAGGTCAGAGATCAGTGGGCGGAACCTCTGAAGTGTGGTCGCTGTGCTCAGGAGATTATTGTTGTGAGGACTTCCCCCCCCTCTATATATTTTGTCCCTCACGTTTCCTCTTCCCTTTTTGTGAGAGGAGTCACTGTGAGGGAAACCTAATGTAAAACTGATCATTTAGTGGGAATGCTGATACAGCATTCCCACTAAATGTTATGCTACGGACAAAAAGTTTATTATTATTATTCCGCCGACTTATTTTGGCCCTCTTCTCCTCCCACATTCAACATCGCAGAAACTCTGTTCAAACATCAAAACGTTCAGCTCGGTCGGGAATCGCAGGCTATTACTTTTCTCATTCATAACTTTCATAATTCCAGAGATACATCCCATAATTCATCAAATTTTTAACCATTGAAGTCAATGGAGATATTCTTCAGACTTCAACAAATCTTCATACGACTTCAACTGCTAACTGTTCATTCATACTTTCACTCAGAAACCTCATTCCAACTTTAAAATGTTGCACATCTTTCTGACATTATTCGTGTTACACAACTTTTAAATCTGATTCTTACTTTTAGAGATATTAAACATTGTTCAGACCTTGTTAAAGAGGTTTTCTTC